ATAATTTAGTGCTTATTTGGTCTCTTGTTTTGCGCCGTTATATGCAATGAAAGCTACGAAAGAGACGAAGACCTGGAGAGTAGTGCCTCTGAATACGACTTATCGGTGGCTGAGACCAAAGCGGGCGGAGTAAAGGCTGCGGGGGTTGCCGTTGCGGGCGCTAAAGGGGCCAAAGCCGGTGCCGCCGGCGGTGCAGTGGCTGCTAAGGGAGGGAAAGCAGGTTTTGCGAAGGGGGCCAAGAAAGCTGGTTTTGCCGCCGGAAAAGCTGGCGGTGCCGCGGGTTTCAAGAAGGGTGGAAAGGCTGGTGCCGCCGGAGCTGCAGGCGCTAAGTTCGCTAAGGGCTTCAAAAAGGCCGCCTTTGCCAAAGTAGGAGGTGCCGGATATAACAAGAAATTCGGTGTCGTCAAGAAGTTTGGTATGAGTCAGGGATTTAAGTTTGGAAAGGCTGGCGGAGTGTTTGCTGCGGGTGGGGCTGCCGGTGCCGCCGGTAAGAAGGCAGTTGCTGGTAAAGCTGCCGGTGCCGCTGGCTTTAAGAAAGGTAGTTTTCTATATATTGAATATTTTGTGGTATAATTGAATTGAATTTGTCTGAACTACAGGTGCGAAAGCAGGAAAGGCCGGGTTCGGTGCGGCAGCCGGAGCTAAGGGAGGAAAGGTTGGTAAAGCCGCTGGAAAGGCAGCCTTTAAGAAGGGCGCGGCAGCCGGCGCTAAGTTCGCTAAGAAAGCCGGCGCTGGCGCTGGAAAAGGACTCATCGGTTAAATTGATAGCTCAAGTAATACTGTATTTTAGTTGATATTACAGCAAAACATTTCATGTAATTTAAATGAAATTCTCTATTTTTAGAAATCACTTAAATAATTATCTAGCATATCTACTGTACTGTACTGTATAGATACCGTAAACCTCAAACTCTTTTAGTTACAGTTATTAACAAATTATATTGTATTGTAAAATAAACATAATTATTATATAATTTTCAAAAAATGTATTAGTTTAAGTTATATTTACAAATAAAAATATTAAACATAACATTAATTCATTGGTTCTTATGCTAACAAGTTAAATCTAAAAAATATAGAAAAATGGTTTGATGATTTTTTATAACAAATTTATCTACAATATAGTTTACAATAGCACTTGTTTAAATCACTGTATTGTAACAAACTTGAAATGTTTTTCAAATATTTCAGTTATTTTGACAAAAGATTTGTTTAGAGATAAGTATTTTAGGTTAACGTGCACTGAAAACTAACAAACACTGTAATTATTTTGTGTAAATACTTAATATTTTGTGTAGCTGTGAAACATCCGATAATTACACTTAAATATGCAATAATTAACTATCAGTTTACCATTGATTACCAATAATTAAGTTAAGTTTAAAATGAAAATTATTGTGTTTTTGTTGTTTTTCTTATAAAAATTAAACTTGAACTTAGCACAGTTGTGTGAAATTAAATACCTATAAATACAAGTACGATATTGATAGAAAAAAATTGTTGGAAATATTCTAACAATATTTTTGAGTAGAATAAACAGTATTTTAAAATTCAGTGAATATGGATTTCTTATTAAAGGCAAGCAATCCATTACTTTATAATAACTATTATATTGAATTTATTACAAGATTTTCTTATAATTTTAGTTAACGATNGAAATATTCTAACAATATTTTTGAGTAGAATAAACAGTATTTTAAAATTCAGTGAATATGGATTTCTTATTAAAGGCAAGCAATCCATTACTTTATAATAACTATTATATTGAATTTATTACAAGATTTTCTTATAATTTTAGTTAACGATAATTGTGTTAATATGCTATTGTGTGGACTCAAACCCAGGGGAAGACCCCAACCCAGGACTTCCGGCCACTGATAATACTCAAGACAATGACCGTAAAGAACCTGAACCAACACTAGCAGATATTGTTGGATATAGTGATAAACAATTGCCGGACACCGAAGTGCCTAAACAAGAGATCCCAAAACCCGATGATTTGGTCAACAAATTGTCGAATAAGTCTTCGAGTGAACAGAAAAGTAACAAAACTTCCAAAAAGTCTAGCATTTCTGATACAAGTGGCGATAAAATTGATATAAAGGGATTTAAAAATATTAGCCACAAAAAGTGGGGCTCAAAATATGTTGATAAAAAGCATTCAATAAATAAACGATTGATTTTAGACCAAAAGCCAACAGTTGACGACTCGGCTCC